GCTGTATTTGTTGCCTGTAATAAAGTACAAACTGGGTCCTATGGATCCCTTCAGGAATCAAACACTTGATCAAAATAATTAATGCACCTTTTGATAACCCTAATTGAATTATGTTCATTAGTAGTTCATACTTAAACATAAAAGCTGGAGATTGTCAGGCAAGCTATGCTATTACTGATTCGAATTCACTCTTGGCATATGAGCCTTTCTCAAAAGTCAGTTCACTTCAGATAATTGAGTTAACTGACCTCAGCTGGATCTGAGGTTTCATAAGCATAAAATGAAAGAGCAATTATTGGTCCAATCAGTATTTCCCAGTAAGCTTTGGTCATTCACTTATTTTTAGGATGGATTGAGACTTTTTCTTGCCAGACCATCATTAAAGAATTTGAATGCTTTGCCTTTTACTCAAAAACTTTATTGTTCTTACACCCAATCTTCAGGAAAATGTAGAGAAAATAAAGGATTACTAAAACTAAAAATTGTCAAAGTTCTAAGAGTCACTGGAACTTACATGTAAGTTCCTACAGTATTCCATTTACCTTCATGACATAGGCTCTCCCCTTAAGAGTTAATAACAGACCATGCCATGCATTTCAGGATTTTGCTCTGATCCTAGTCTTTGCCCCACTGCAAGTTGACATAACTAAATACTGTATCTTATCATTAAACAGATACAAGCTGCCTTTTCAAAGTAACCGTTTACACAACCTTTGAGCCTGAAACCTGGAGATTTTTGTCTTCTGGAAGAGAAAGCAAAGGAAAACTTGCCTTGAGCTTCGACTAATAGGACTGTATCAGGTACTGTTACTAACACTGTGGTGAAACTCTAAGATAGTCATCCGTGCATTCATATTTTCAGTTCAAAAGACATACATCATTTTTCCTAGATCAGGGGCCTTCCATTTCACTGGTAGACCTCAAGCTGAGAATTCTTTGAACTCTACCAGAAGCAGACAATCCCCTAAAGTAACAGTTGATTCAAACCCCTCCATTGAAGCTAATGATTATGTAAACTAGAAAGCTTTTACTAAAATCTCTGGAACAAGTTTCATTTTAAGACAATTTATTACCCTTTTCCTTTGGATTTTTTTTACTATGGATCTTGCCTAATAGCATATGTTGAAGCTGTCCAGTGACTGGGTCAAGAGTTCTCAGTCTGTTTTGTACTTTTTTTTTTTAACTTCTAAGCCTCTGTGGTCTTTTTTTGTGGCATTTCAAGAGAGAGAAAACACTCTTGTACATTTTTTCTCAGACTTTAGTTACTGCTATAAATCTGATTGGTGAACCAATATCCATTTGGGGGAAACATATGCCATAGATGTTTCTTTAAATATTGTCAAGATAGATGTTCTTATACAAATTTCTTTTAATACTGAAATGTCTCTCACATTATGAGTTCCAACCTTCAACCTTGTAAAAATTGGACTTTACCTCCACATTACAAAATACTTCTTATTAGATCATTAACTAAACCCAGGAACTCCGCTCTACTCTCTGCAATGGTCAGTTGCTTTCTTCAGAGTCACTGTATCCTGAAGGAATTATTTAACTTCACTCAGAAAATATGTCCACCATTAGGGTCCAATGATTAGCTCTCTCTTTCTAAGATATGTAATGTTTATACTCTCCTTTGAGTCCCTGCCCTACCAAAATACTATTTCTTATGTGTACACTGCCACCGGAAACCCATTCAACAGTTTAAATTGATGACGCAGAGTCTGAATGGATAATAACATATTTCATCTTGATTTCCTCTTCGCTAACCAAGAGGGAGTTTATGCCAGAACAAACATACCTTGGTGCAAATACATTTGTATAAGAATAGACTGTGCTGGAATTTTTAGCGTATTTATGAGATCTGGGTTTAGTTATCTAGTCCACTGGATGAACAGTCTTTTACCAAAGTCATAATTTCTTTTTCTGGCAAGTGCCTTTATCACAGTTGTTCAATGCATCCTGTCTAGATTCTTCAGTGTTACTGTATAACCACTTTTACATCACATGATGCAACACTCATTCTATAATATTTGGTTGGTGCAAAAGTAATTGTGGTTTTTCCCATTTAAAAGTAATAGCAAAAACCACAATTACTTTTGCACCAACCTTAGAAGGCTCAGAAGGAACTGGCACTTGTCCAGTCTAGAGGCAACCTTTCCCAGATAGTCCAATCAGCAGGATCCTGACAATGCGAAGGACTTGAACATCAAAGATTATTGTCCCACAGTCTGACTTTGTCTGTCCTGATATCTATCAGCGGACAGTGGCCTAGTTTCTACCACTAGGCTATGGTGTTCCTTCCCTGCTAAACATAAATAATTTCATCTCTCAAAACCAAAAAAAGGAAAAAAGAAAAACGAGTTCAACACCATCAACCACATGGGAAATGCAAATAAAAATAACAATGAAATAACACAACAAATTTACTAGAAGGCTAAAATAAAAAATACTAAGTGATGTCAGGATACAGGACAACTGCAACTCAGCTGCATTGCTACTGGGGAGGCAAAATGGTAGTGATTCAATTTTTATGATAATTTCAAAAAATAAAACTATGGTGATTGAAAACAGTGATTTCTATGGATTAAGGGATAGGGGAGGGTGTGATAGGATAGAGTTCTTCGGGTTATAGCACTTTTCAGTATCCCAGTTGTGGTGGTGGTTACAAAAATCTATATATGTGTTAAAATGCATAGAACTAAATAGCAAAAAATCAGTAATAATAAAAATAAACACATGCTAATCAACATTTTACCACACAAAGGTGCACAGTAAGCATTTGTTGTATCAATTTTAAAATGATATTGAAGACCATTACTGCCATGTTCCACATTGCCACAGCCTAGTTTAAATTACTGTGTCTGCTGTTAATGTGAATACTGAACATGTTATACATACGTTATGTGTTAATGTGGACATAAGCAAGAATGACTCTTGGAGAGAGGGTAAGTCAATTATAGACAAACTTTATTGCTGAAACACCAGGAGTTCCGTCAAGATTGTGCTGCTCCCTGCACAGAATGCCAATCACTGAGTCAACAAGGATTGCCAGAGAAGAAGGCTTTAATCTAGTCCTGCAGCCAAGGAGAATGGGAGTTTAGTCTCAAATCTGTCTCCCTGATTGACCAAAATTGGTCTGTTTACACAGCAGGGAAGGTGGGGAAAAGAAATTAGGGAGGGATAAGGAAGCAATCCTGATGAATGAGGTGTTTGGTGTCTCAGTATCTGGATGTGGTGATCTAGTGAGTTTAGGTCCCTTGCCTGAGGGTCAGTTTCCTGAGGAAAAAACTCAGTTAAGACATAAGTTTCAAGTTTTAAGACAGAGAGCCCATTTCGATGTTTATTCAAAAATCCATAAATATGGGACAATTTGGCCAGTTTCAAATTCAGGGACATTTTAACCATTGTGGACTCAGTGACCTGTGAAGTGTACAGGCCAGGGAAACTTCCTCTTTGCCTTCTGAAGTTTCACTGAAAAATCAACTCACAAAAGGCAGATTAATTGGAGAAAAGGTATACAATTTTATTTAACTATATGTTTACACAGGGAGAACCACAGGGTGATTCCCCACCCACAGTGGGGTTTAGAAGCTTATTTACTGGCAAATCAGGTTATGGGAGAGGGGAAAAGAGGAATTCTGTTGAGGGGATCACTAGGGAGAATGAATGGATCAGGGAGTAGAGATTACCTTGTACATTACCTTGTGAAAGGGTTTGTTCAGGAGGGGTTACATTCTTAGTCTTACAGGGAGAGGAAGAAAAAAGAATTGTTCCTTTCGGTGGGTCTGGATCTTAGGCAGATAAAGGAACTTCACTTTGGGAGAGGTGGTGGAGAGTAGAGGTCAGAGAGACCTTGAGGCTTTTCCAGTTCAGTATGTCAAAGTGCCATATTTTGGGGTATCAGTTTCTGACTCCCAACACATTCTTGGTCTTCTTTTTTTGTAGTGGATCATGAGATAACAGGGAGGGGAAAAAGAGCAATTGTTCTCCTTGGTGGGGTCCATCCTATCTTTATGTAGACAGGGAAAAGTGTTTTCCAGAGCCTGTTGATTTCTAAGGGTCTTTACTTCAAAATCTTCATTATACCAGGAAGCCATATGTTGGGGTGGAATTTCCTGTACTCCTTCAACCCCCAACTCCAAATTTAGAAATGGCTTCTAACTTTTTTAAGGAAATGTCTTTTATTTCTTTTGGCCACTGTGATTGATTTCGTGATGGATCCACGAAGCAAGAAAGACAATCAAGGCCAATAAGTTTCAATTTTGGGACTACTGTTTGAGCTACTGAGAAAGTAAGATCTCTTTTTTGTTGTTTGAAACTGAAACCTTGTCACTCCAAGGACAGTCAGTAAACACTTTTCAATGTTAAGGGAACTGAGAGAGAGACAGAGCTTCCTGAGAGAACAAGAAAGCAGAGAGAAGAACGAGAAGTGAGAAATTGGTCCTGACCATATTATGTTCCTCTAGTCCAGTTTAACTGGTGATAAGCTTAACTTGTGATAAAGATCCTAGATCCCTTTCCAGTCCTGCTGCATCCAAATCTCCTAGGAAGTCCTAGAAAACGTCTAATCTCCCCTGAAGCTAGCCCTACTGCCAGAATTTGAGGAATATGAACCAATAAATTTCCATTATAGTTTAAGAGAATTTAAGATAGATCTGTGTATTAGTTTGTTCTCACACTGCTGATAAAGACAACCGAGACTGGGTAATTTATAAAGAAAAAGAGATTTAATGGACTCACAGTTCCACATGGCTGGGGAGGCCTCACAATCATGGCAAAAGGTGAAGGAGGAGCAAAGGCACGTCTTACATGACAGGAGGCAAGAGAGCATGTGCAGGGGAACTGTCCTTCATAAAACCATCCGATCTTGTGAGACTTATTCACTATCACAAGAACAGCATGGGAAACACACGCCCCCATGATTCAATTACCTCCCACCAAGTCCCTCCCATGATGTTGGGGATTATTGGAGCTACAATTCAAGATGAGATCTGGTTGGGGATGCAGCCAAACTATATCAGTCTCTTATTTGCCAACAAAAGCATCCTAACTGATAGAGGCCAGATAGATTTGCTTCTTTTTGTTTTTTTCAATATTTTGTTGTGAAGAAGTAAGCATAAGCTCTCAATAGGTTATGTTTTACAAGCCTCTGATGAAGTTCAAAGGACAACCATGCTTAGGATTTCCAGGACAACCTTGAAAAAAAAAACAGGTTGAGAAATAGGTGTGTTAATCTCCCTTCCCTCTGCTCCTCCCTCTGGCCTTCCTTTCTTTGATTGAATAGGCTCTAGGACACCTTTTTAAAAAGACTCCCTGTGGTGTTCAGAATCACTCCTACAATCAGATTCTGTCTCCACAATGGATCTCAGTGCTGCAAGTCACCGCATACCTCTAAGTGATGGAAACAGCATTCCCATCATCGGACTTGGTACCTACTCAGAGCCTAAATCAGTAAGCTTATCTTTTCTCTCTTTGTTTGCTTGTTTGTTTCTTTTAACATTAGCCTATAGCATGATCTGCAATTTATTTTAAGCAGATCTCATTGACTTACTTTTTGTAGTAATGGAAGCAACCTCAATTTGTAATAATGAAAGGACTACTATTTACTGAATAGGTATTAAGCCAAAGGTTAAACTAAATCAATTCATGATTAAAAATTAGTTTGGATTAGAGAAGGAGAACTTTCTGCTTCCTTTACTGAAATTTAGCTAAATGCTGATTACTAGAGTGAACTGAGTCACATGAAATTTGTGTGTTTATGACTTGTGTTTTTTTTATTATTAGATAATTTTTAGTTCAGTCTAACACCTAGTGAATACTTGCCATGCACTAAGCATTAGGTGATAGAAGTGTCATATTGAGAAAAACAATGTCTGTGTTATCCAGAGATTAAAAATCAAATAGATGGGGCAGATTCTTTACAACTAATTGTAGAATGACAAAGATAAGGATCAATGCTATTCTAGAACTCTTTGTAAACAGTCTCTGAAAGCGTATGTATTAGTCAATTCTCATGCTGCTATTAAAGACATACCCTAGAGACTGGGTAATTTATAAAGGAAAGAGGTTTAATTGACTCAGAGTTCAGCATGGCTGGGGATGCCTCAAGAAACTTACAGTCATGGCAGAAGGGGAAGAAAACATGTCCTTCTTCATAAGATGGAAGCAAGGAGAAGTGCTGAACCAAAGGGGAAAAGCCCCTTGTAAAACCATCAAATGTCATGAGAACTTACTCACTATCCTGAGAACAGCATGGAAGTAACCTCCTCCATGATTCAATTACCTCTCACTGGGTCCCTCCCATAACATGTGGGGATAATAGGAACTATAATTCAAGATGAGATTTGGGTGGGGACACAGCCAAACCATATCAGCATAGAAATGGAAATAATTAAATTTGACCATGAAGATTGAAACAGGCTTCCTTTAAAACAGTAAAGTTTCAGCTTATGAGAATATCTTTTCCTTGTTGCAGTTCAACGTTTAATGCTGATTACGAGAATAAACAGTGACATGTGTAGAAATGCTACCGAAATTTGAGTGGTCATGTATGAATGAACTATTTGAAGTTGAGCATGAATGTACCAGACAGAGAAGCACACCTAAAGCAGGACATTTTTGGCAATAAGAAGTATAGAGACATTTTATTTAGACAGAGAAGGATATATGATATATCCAGGGAATGCCAAGCCCATAGTGCCTGGCACAGGGAGTTAATGGTGATGGTAGCTGAATCTGAAAATGCAGATTAAGACAGGGATTACCAAGGACCTTGAACACCATGCCAAGGAGTTGAAACTCTGTTGGATTACCAAGGACCTTGAACACCATGCTAAGGAGTTGGAATTTTGTTGGATTACCAAGGACCTTGAACACCATGGTAGGGAGTTGGAACTTTGTTTGTTCGTTTGTTTGTTTGTTTGAGGCAGGGTCTTACTCTGTCACCGAGGCTGGAGTGCAATGATGCAATCTTGGCTCACTGCAACCTCTGCCTCCCAGACTCAAGCAATCATCCTGACTCAACGTCCTAAGTAGCCAGGACCACAGGCAGGTGCCACCATGCCCAGCTAATTTTTGTATTTTTTGTAGAGAAGGGGTTTCATCATATGGCCCAGGCTGGTCTTGAACTCCTGGGTTCCAGCAATCCACCCACCTCAGCTTCCCAAAGTGCTAGAATTACAGGCATGAGCCACTATGCTCAGCTAGGAGTTGAAACTTCATTCTATAGTAATGACACATCATCTAAAGTTTAGAAGCAAAGAGAGAGCATCACTAGATCTGTGTTTTTGAAAGATAAAACTCAGGTTGTAGCATAGAGAATGGAAGGCAGACGAGGAGAAATAAACTACCCATAGCAAGAGTAGTTAAAACTTGGATCACAATCCCACATTCCACTTCAACTGCCCACCTCCCTTGTTTTTGGTAATGCAATTGAAAATTACTCTTGGAACAATTATATGAGTTTGATCCTTGGCCCCTTTCTCTTCTTTCTTTGTACAATGTCTCTTTATGATCTCATTCACAATCTTGGCTCCAACCACATATATGCAGAGATTCTCAAAACTATATTTTCTATCATTTGTTATATCTCCCCCATGTAAGTCCCTTACAGGAGATAACTATTGTTCAAAGATGAAAGAGATGAGCAAGTCTAATTATGGGGTACAAGCTACAGAGAAGGCATGGCCCAGAAAGTTAGATGGGGGAATATTCCTTCCTGAGTGGCTCTTATTGAGACTGCTGTAGTTGCAGCAAGTTTTCAGAATCTGAATGAGCCATGGGGCAAAAGAGAAGTGCAGTCCAAGCTCTTGGTGAGTACCCAGGAGAAGCCTAAAACACCCACTACAGTTTTGCCCCTGAGCAGAGGGAGGTGGGGGTGCAGGGCTCAGAACCCATTTCTCAGGAATGTGCCATCCTTTAAACATTCCTTTTATTTTATTTATTTTATTTTTATTAGAGGCAGGTTTTTGCCGTGTTGCCCAGGCTGGTCTCAAACTCCTGGGCTTAAGTGATCCGCCTGCCTCAGCCTCCCAAAGTGCTGGGATTACAGGCATGAGCTATGACACCCAGCCCTAAACATTCCTTACTTTCTCCCCAATGCCCATCTAATTCCCCTCTTCTGATCCCCCAGGGAGCTTTGTTTCACCTGAGGAAAGAAAAGCCTTGCTCTTACACCAAGTAATTTTTTCAGATGTGGTTTTAAGCTGAGGACAGGGTGAAGGTCTCATAAGCTCCACCTAAGGGGACCAGGGGCCAGGCAGAAAGCATAAATGAATGGTTTCAGAGAGTTAAGCCTATTTATCCATTTTTTCCTACTTCCCCATTTTGATACTAGACATGAGTGCAAGCAATGCTTTCTTTTCCTCTTTATTTCTACAAGAAAAAAGAAAAAACACAAGCAACTAACACTCGGGGGACTATTATTGAGGACACAGTAGAGATCACACTACAAGAGGGTGGCAGCTTGTCCTCCAGTATAGACAATCATCATGAGTAATAATCCAGTTGTTGGCCAGTCTTGTAACACTTTTTGGAGAACACTGTAAAGTAATTATCAATTTGTAAGCAACAGCAACTCATTCAGATTTTGGATGACATCTGGATGGCATGCTGTCTTGTCCAACTTGTGTCCAATCACAAATGTGCCAATTATATCTTACAATGGATTTCCACTGACCCACCCAAACTTATGTTGTAGTGGATTTTATATAACCCAGCTCAAAATGGGCAGCTCTGGCCACACAGCCACATCACGGCCCATGGCCAGATATACTATCTCTACAGGGCTCAGCAGCAATGTCATCAATGTAGATGGCATGACTTGCTCCAGAACCCTACAGGCTTACCTTGTAATTCTCCAACTGAGGCTTGCCATAAATTCCATGCCACATGTAAACAATAGAGCCTGCTGGGTCATATGGCCCAAGTGGCAGGGATGCTTGTGGTAAAGTCTAGACTTCTGCTGAGCCCTTCCCCATTCTGGGCCTACTGAAACCTGGTGTATTCATGTCACTCAATAAATGGGTAGGGATAGTACTGCAAGTATGGAATATGCTGCCTATGGAGCCTGAGGGCGCCTTCTGGGTAGTGTGCTTTCTTCTTAATGCTTTTCCTAGTATACAGCCATACCTATGACTTTATCTTAAAAGAACTTCCATCAGCCTTCCAGTAATCCATTTTTTTTTTTTTTAATTCTTAATAGAAACGAGGTATTTCTATGTTGCCCAGGGTGGTCTGAAACTCCTGGACTCAAGCGACTCTCCCACCTTGGCCTGCAAAATTGCTGGGATTATAGGCATGAACCACCATGCCCAGCCCAATAATCCATGCAGACTGCTTTGGTTTCTGCAAATTATGCAATACACTTGTTGGCTGCCTATCTAACTTGCCTTTAGGGTAGGGTTGCCAGATTTATCAAGTAAAAATATCAGACGTCCAGGTAAATTTGAACTTCAGATGAACAATGAGTCATTTTTAAATATAAGTATGTTCCATCCCATTTAATATTTGGAATGTTCATATACAAAAAAGTCTTGCCCATTTGAATTTCAAATTTAACTGAGCATCCTGTATGTTGCCTGAAAACTCTAGGGATTTCATGTCTAATTAACCATCTCTGCAAAGCATCTCTGCAGGTCATGCTCTTTGGATACCACTCATTTTGATAACAGTGCCCACTTCACTTCTGAAGTTAGTACTACCATGTAGCCTCTATTATTTTAAAATTCCATCATTCCTAGCTTTAAAAACAAGGACAGGATCTCACTATGTTGCCCAGGCTGGTCTTGAACTCCTGGGCTCAAGCAATCCTCCTGTCTTGGTCTCCTGAAGTGCTGAAGTTAGAGGTCTGGGCCACCACACCTGGGCCCTAATTTTTTTTATTAAACCTAGTGTTTCAACATCTCACACAGTCTGCCTTGTCTACAGAGGACAGCTGTAATTGAGCTCAACAACTCTGCTGTTTCTGTCGCTAAAGCATTGCTATCTCTCTGGTAAAAGGAGTGCTATCTGGGCCCTGCTGCAAAACACAGATCATCCGCGGGTTTCCGGCCTTACATAGTATATCCACTATAGTGGGCTCCCTTCTCTGAGCTTCCTGAGCCCTCTCTTGACCATCTGCCATGGTATTTCTGGAATGTCTACTTCATGTATGTGGATCTCACTTTTTCCAAGATTTCAAGAGTTACGCTGGCAGTGTGTTGCCGCTGTTTCCTAAGGTGTTAAGTGAGGTATCAGAGGATAGTGTTTCCATATCAATAAACTCTCCTTTATCCAACTTGAAATTCCACCTTCCTCTTGATGCTGCACCCCAAGATCCACTCTCACACCTGCTCTCCACCTGCATTGCACGTGGTGTCTCGGTGTGCAGTTCCCTCAGTGTATCACCCTCTTCCTTTATTCAGCCAGGAGATCTCATAAGGGATAATATCCCAAATATAAAAAAAACTCCT